GTCCTGCTCGCCACAGTAATCACTCCACCGGCCTCACGCCGTCCTCTCACGGCCCTCGGCCTCGTCCTGCTCGCCACAGTAATCACTCCACCGGCCTCACGTCGTCCTCTCACGGCCCTCGTCCTGCTCGCCACAGTAATCACTCCACCGGCCTCACGTCGTCCTCTCACGGCCCTCGGCCTCGTCCTGCTCGCCCCAGTAATCACTCCACCGGCCTCACGTCGTCCTCTCACGGCCCTCGGCCTCGTCCTGCTCGCCACAGTAATCACTCCACCGGCCTCACGTCGTCCTCTCACGGCCCTCGTCCTGCTCGCCACAGTAATCACTCCACCGGCCTCACGCCGTCCTCTCACGGCCCTCGTCGTCCTGCTCGCCACAGTAATCACTCCACCGGCCTCACGCCGTCCTCTCACGGCCCTCGGCCTCGTCCTGCTCGCCCCAGTAATCACTCCACCGGCCTCACGCCGTCCTCTCACGGCCCTCGGCCTCGTCCTGCTCGCCTCAGTAATCACTCCACCGGCCTCACGCCGTCCTCTCACGGCCCTCGGCCTCGTCCTGCTCGCCACAGTAATCACTCCACCGGCCTCACGTCGTCTTCTCTCGGCCCTCGTCCTACTCGGCATAGTAATCACTCCACCGGCCTCACGCCGTCCTCTCCCGGCCCCCGGAGTCGGTGTGTGTGTGTGATTATTCTGGAGCGCTGGAGGAGGAACACGGCTTTATGACTGACGTCCCCTTGCCGACCCAGCGCTGTGATTTGTGACGGGATCAAAATGACACTGGTCGCTGGGGCGCTTCGTTCTGTGATTTACACGCAGGGTTAAATCAGCCACTGGGACCCGAGATTCATCACTCGCTGGGGAGAAGCTCTTTCAGAACCAGTCCATCACCACACAATCTGACGGGCCTCAGATCCATTTAACAACACGCAGCTGATGCGCCTGGGCCATCCAGAGAGCACTGGAGTAAAGCTGTAATGAAACATGATTCAAAAGTAATTGATTTCGATCTTGAATGCACCGAAAACACATTGAATGTAAGGAGCTTCAGCAGAGAGAAGATTGATTTGTGACGTTTAGTTTGAGAGCCCAGATATTTTTTATTGACATCAGGTAGTGGGATAAAAGCAGGATTTACCATGTGGTTTACCTCTCTGTTCTCAACTTCACTCCATCTATTGATGATCAAGTTGATTTGCCGCAGCCTGGGTGTGAGCTAGGACCTTTAACCATGCTAGTTAATCTGATTCATTTGGCTGTATTGATAAATCAGGTAATCTCTCTGCACTATAATAATAAAATTGTATGTTTATGTTTCATGTTTCTCTGAAATAAATTGGGCTCTAAAGTATGATAAAATATGTTTATTTCATGGTTAATGTTTTAGAAAGTTATGCAACATGATGCAATTCTGAAAATGTGTTATTAGTGTGAAATTAGCGTGTATAAGAAAATAATGCAAAACAGTCATTTTCACTTGTTTGGACCCCTCTATATATCAGCAGTTGCTCATTAAAGGGAAACCTCAACCAAAAAAGACCATTCTTGTCGTTCCAAACATTACTTTATATTTTTAAGATTGTTGATGATGACAGAATGATAATGTTTGGCTGATGTTGATCTATTCCCATAGAGACATGACCAAGAAGATTTCAGAGGAGAGAAACTCATTTGTTTGGCTGAAGTTGACCAAGAGTCAGGTAATGAACAGTTGACTCATGGGAAACCGTGGCACATTTAGGTTTCGCAGGAAGAGAGCTGCTCTGGTAATGATCCGTGGAAGTGTAACCGCGCCGCTGGAGCTAGACCGACCGGTGCCGAACCGCTGCCAGAATACATTTGAAGGGGAAAATGCGACTCTCACGATGCCAGTCTCTTTGAAGCTTTCTGATTATCTTCATTACAGAGAATTCTGTACATTGATTCTGATTTTCTTCTCTACAGTTTGCATTTCAAGAGCTACACTTCATAGTGACTTTATTGATGTATTTTAACCTTAACATTTGTATTAGTTTGTATTGTTTTCAATCTGCTCCAACATTTGGTTTTAAAAATGTTAGCTCTTCAGCTCACGACTAATCGATCGTATAATACAAGTACTGGTCAGGTTTGACCATGATCAGTATAGACGAATCCGGCGAAACTACCGGAAGTAAGCGGGCGCCATTACTGAGCTGTTGCTGGGTAGCGTTGCGCCATTGCCTTCTATTGTTTTAGTTGCAACTTGCGTCCACTGGAATAAACAGCTCGCGATTTACGACTGTCACTAACGTTACAACGTTAGCCCTTGTATAATGTCGAGTGGGTAAACAGTTTCCGTTATAAATTGTTTTAATGGTGGCAGTAAAATTTCAATTTTGAAGAGAAAACATTGTGAATACCCCGGGTCGACTGCCCCTGTCTGGTGCCGTACGGTTTACACAGATTTCCTGGGCGAGTACAAGACGCGGACATTCGCGTATAATAACAATTATTTAATGACATAACAAGTAAAAAATATATAATAAATGTGTGATATAGTGATCAGCAAAATCTCCTCTCTTGTTATTTTTTCTATTCAATTTACATGCTATGGTCATTAAATGGCTTTCCTGAGCTGAATGTAACGTTATGTGACATAATTGTTCTCCTGCTGTTATATTGACTTCTTTCCATGGTTTAAAAACAGTAGTTGGTCGATATTATGTATACTTTCTAGCTGTAACGTTACCTTACCCATGCCCGTTGCAATGTAAAAATGAGATAATAATGGACACAAATGAAAAACATGAAATTGTTTATTTGATTTCATTTATTTATTTATTTATTGTTGCCAAATGGACAGATCTTTTTTTAGTTTCCTCGGTAGCAAACGTTAGCCTAGCTTGCTTGCCAAGCTATTTTCATAAATAATCTGTAAGATCGTTTGTACCTTCATCTGTGACTGGAGGCCAATGTCTAACATCATCAACCCAACAAGTCTGCCTGGCTGTAGCTGTCATCAAGGGTGCGTTATCACCTTATCTCCGAGGTTTGTTTACATACTGGTGCATATGTCTATGCCGGTGTAACAGCTCAGTAATGGCGTCACCACAAGATGGCAGCCTACACAAGAACGCTCGTCGGATTCGTCTATATGACATGTATATCACATATTAACTGTGACTCATGAAAGATGTTAATTCATTAGTCTTTAATAGTGCAATGTTTTCTGTTGGACTAGCAGACCCTACACAGCGAGTGTGTGGAAGCTGTTCAGGGAGACGACAGAGAACACATTCACATACTTGATAAACAATCTCATTCTGCAGTGCTTTATCCATTTCACTCTTATGATGATCCAAACAGCCTGACCGCTCTAGTTTGCTGTATAAAAGCTTTGACTTTGTGTCGTCCTTAAAGAAGGAACTGCAGTGTGTTTTCAGATTCCCAACAGCCCTCGTTTCCTCACTGCATGGGAACCTCACTGTCTCCCAAACCCCTCTGGTTTCATCTTTTAATTTCCTGTTTAGTATAATATAAGTGCTTTGCTGCTTCCTCAAGCCTCTCTAGAAGGCTTCATGGGTTTTAGTAGCTCTTGGAGTGCATCTCATTGCATTTGTACAAAATCCCCAGTAATAATAAGTCACACAGAGAGGGCTTAGTCTCTCCCAAAATATCCACGTCTTCCTGCAGTCCTCGCTGGTACCGTCTAAAGCACTTTTGCAGATTTAAAGCATGCCTTTATGCACCAAGAATGTTTCTTAAACAGTTTGTCTTATTTTTCCAAGAGTAAATCACTCTGGCTTTTGTTCATCCTCCGTTAAACATGTGTCTCTCTTTTATATTTATAGTGTACTGGAGAATTTACAGGCACAAGTTGTTTGCTAACACCCTGGGCGGGGAGATAATTTACCTGGAGCTTCGATCAATAGCGCAAAGAAAACCTGCATTATTCAATTGCTTGGCTCTGCTGACAGGTTCTTGTTTCTGGTGAAAATGCAAAGTTAATGAGGGAGGCGTCTGATTCGATGAGAGTTTGGCTGATTCATAAAGTGAAGTAGTAGTTTGTCATCCAATTGATTGCTTTTGCACATGCTAACATGCATTGAATGCAGCTGTCATGTGTAAGAGGCTTTCCTGAAGGAGCCTCGGTATTAAAGGAAGATTATACGCTGACAGGAGGAATTGAGTTCTGTCCGTCGGTCCTGATCTCCGTCTGTTGTTCCAGAACACAATCATAGTTGTCGAAGTCTACTTTACAGCTGATTGCTTCATGAGAGCACGGTGGAAACCTGATTTACACCAAACTAGCAAACGCTCATTTCCCGTTAACACCATTTGATCAGGACATGATACTTTTGTTATTGTTCCAATTCAGTTTCTAGCCATAAATTTGTTCTAAATTCATAATTTTGATGCCAATTGGATCTTTTTTTCATTTTATCGTAAAACGCACGATTTATTCACTCAGTCAAGATTCTTCATTTAATCGTTGCCATCTCCTTTAAGGCCCCGTCACACGACTGCTTTAACGCCCAACACACACGACTTCCTCATGTAAAACGCTGTGTGTACCGCGTTCACCCGGGGACCCCTCGCCCTGAAGTGTGTAACGCGTTCACCCGGGGACCCCTCGCCCTGAAGTGTCCAGTGAATAGTGTTCAGAGCGCCATCATATCCGACACAGACGTGTCATTCTTACTGAAAATGAATTTTGATCTGAGCAGAGGAACTTCATATCTGATCTCATCTCGTGCACCATGGGACCCCTGCGCTACTTTCAAAGCCCTAATGTAAATATTAAAAATAATATTGTCCAAACTTGTTTACATTACATCAGTTCAGAAAAGGTGGCGGCCTCGTCTGGTTAGTTACCTTTGGAAACATTATAATTTAATGTTTTTGAAAGTCTCTTCTGCTCACTGAGGCTGCATTGATTTGATTAAAAATACAGCAAAAACTGTAATATTGTGAAATATTCAGCTTTGTTCAGAGGAATAAATTGCATTTTACAATATATTCACAAAGAAGACAGTTCTTTTCATTTTTAATAATATTTCACAATATTACTGCATTTAAAATTGAACATTAAAAATAACACAACAAATGGTATAGAAAAGTTTTGACTATTTGTGTTCAAGCCATGCAGTTCCACAACATCAATGAGACGTCTCAGTCATCGTTCGTTTTAATGGTTACAAATATAACCTGAGAATATTACCACCTGCTTTCCTGGGAATGATGAAGAGGACACACAAACACACCAATGCTGCAGAATACAAACACTAGCTAAAAACAAGAAGTCAACGCCAAACCTTTATGAATAAAATCCAATGTTTAAATTCAATATGCAGTCAAAATTGACCCCATTTACTTAATAATGTTAAACACAAATAAAACAGTGCATCTTTATCACAGCATTCTGAGATGCTTCAGTTTTCCCAGGAAGTGAATCTCTGTCCGTTTCTTTCATTTCGTGTGTCCGGTAAGCAAATGCAGGAAGTAACAGGTTTGTTTCTTCATCACACGACCAGCCTGTTGAAGTTTCTCACAGCAGTACATTCACTGTTAATTCAGAACCAACATCAAACATGATCAAATTAAAATATCATCTTGCATACAACTAGAGTTTTGTCTTCATCCATTGATCACCTGACTAACTACCGCAGCGACAAGCTGTTCCAGAGCATTTTCAGATAAATGGTTTTGGCAAAGAGGAACTACATTTGCAATTAGATGGCCACTAATTGGAGATTAAAATGAAGAGAGGAAAATCATTGGTCATTTTCTCTTTGTAATGCGGTTTAATTAAAAGCCCTCATGAGAGTTAGGATGCGAGACATTCTCGATCTGCAGTCTAATCAGTAACTTTAGTGTTAGACCTGAGTGAAACAAGCTTTGACAAACACACCCAACCACTCAAATACACACAATTCTTAATCAAAGCATCACAGATAACAATCTTCCCCCCTTTTCTACTGAAAGGCTGTTTGTTGCATTAATGGGGTTTTGTTCTTATGCGTCTTTTTATGTTGCTGTTTTAAACATGCCTATTGGCTTTTTGAAGTTTTTGATTTTTCACAATCCCAAATGAATCACAATCGTTTCTTTTGTCTTATCACAAACCTCTAAAAATAGATCTCTATAAATCTTGTAATGTGTTTGATTCAATGAGGAAACTTTGATTTTATGGGACAGACACATTGATCCTCTCAAACTAACAGTAATTCAAAGTGACTTTTAGACTTACTACACAAAATATGATCAGACTACGTTTGAAATGGTTTCCTATCGTATTCGGCTGTGCTATAGCAGTACAGCAAAATGCCCAATCATTTTATTAAGTAACTACTGTAGTATGCCCAATCATTTTCCCCTACGTTCAGAGCAGTCCCAAACCCTTCATTGGTGATCTTGAGCTGCGACGGCAAAGACTGCAGACAGGACCAATTCAAGTCAGGAGTCTCCAAAAACAACCAGTCACTTGTGAAACTTCTACTGTAGTACAATGAAATATTTGTGATTTATGTGTTGCTTGCCCGCAGACCCTCATGACATCTACCAGAAGAGGCCAACTGGACCAAACCAGCCCAACCCGACCCCAGATCACTGCCATGAAGAAAGGCTGGAGTTTGAACATTGGCGTATTAAGAAAGGTGGAATAGTATGCTTTCAAATATACATAAGAAAGAAAGTTTTGAATTATGCAATTATAGACTGCCTTTATTCCATGATGCTCCAATTGTATTTCTCATTGAGATGACGGTACACAGTCGCATACATCCACATTGTTTCATCAGAGAGGTTGTGTCCTCGCAGCTGCAGTCCCCAGATCGCAGGTCACGTATGCTCACACGTGGTGACCTCCGGTAGCGCCGTTTGCTCCTGTAACACTCCCTGAGGAGCCGCCTGCACAGATCGAGCGGACGGCACAGAGTTCTTCTGTAATTCCACTCCAAACCCCGGGGGGGCGCTCTGCAACTGTTTCCGGTACTGTACAAAGCTGCACGTCTTCAGAACCAGGGCTAGGATGTTCTTGGCCATAAGTATCCCAGACACTCTGTTGTCCTTATAGAGGAGCATATTCCCTCCACGGATGAAGAGAGTGACAACGTTAATGGTGACCAAACTCAGAATGGGGTAGAGCATCATCTTGTGAGGACTTATGTTGATGCCTTGCATGCTGATCTCGCTCAGAGACACGCAGGGCAGCACTAACAGAAGAATATAACAGTAGAAGAACATCAGTCCTTCCACCCACAGAGGAAGCCCTTTCTTTTGCGGCTCCCACAGGTTGGCCTGGATGTCCAAAACATCCAACAGATCCACCACCACCCAGAACAAGCGGTTTCTGATCTCCTCCTTCTTCTTGAAAGCCTTCACGTAATCCATGTGGTCGATCGCGACCAGAATCACGAACAGCACGGGAACGCAGACGGACAGCAGGAGCGTCAGGGCTTTCCGGGCCAAGGCATCCAGGCTTTTCCGGTCAGCCTTGTAGTTCTGGTAGACAAAATACACCTTAATCTCCAAGACGAAAATGTAAAGGAACCAAAGTATCATGGCGTACCCCCGTTTTGCCGTCCTCACCTCAGCGCCCACCCACACCGCCACGTATCTCAGCACGATGAGGAAGCACAGCTCGCCCACCGTCACCATGATGCAGATGCCGATCTTGCGCGGGCCCTGGTTCTGCTCCACGAGGTAGGCGTCCATCAGAGCCATGCTGCTCATGATGATGATGGTGGACAAGCAGACGTGGGGCTTGTTGGTGGGAGGAGGCGGCACCATCGTGAGCCGGTTCTGGGAGACTCCTCGAGAGCACTGGGGAGACTGGGAGCGCTCAGACTCTTCTTACTCCCATGGCCGAGGTCCAGGCTCCACTGCTGGACACAAACAAATCCAGTTCAATCACCAACATGCACAAACCATCATGTTCAGGTACAATCTTCAGAAATCTCTAGTCTGACGGTGTTTTGGCCACTGTTTCAGAATCTTCAGAACTGCATTAAAAAGATCTTTTTTTGTGGCCATCAGCCAGACACAGACGCATTTAATGTACTCTCAGAGGAGGCATTTCAAAGAAACCGACTGGACACCTACTTTACTTTCTCCTCTGTGTGAAGTTCATGATAACGACGAGCTGTGGACCGTCCTCGTGTGTGTGTGTGTGTGCTCGATGTGAACAGATTAGTGCTGTAATCCATATGAAAAGTGACAGCAAACACGCACAGTTCTTCCCTGGTCGTGTTGTATCCTGCGGTCCAGCATGTCTTTGCAAATTACAGCCCCTAAAAAAATCCCAAATGCCTCGGATGTAATCCACTGAAGTTTGGAGTGCAGAAAAGGCTCTGTGGTCGTCTCGGGGGGGAAAGCTGACTAAAGCTAAAATCACTTTTTGGCTTCAGACTAAAAACTTGCAGCTAGAGCAGGTAAATTATTCTAGATGTAAATCCACTTACTGTAGCCTGAAACCGCTGGTGTGTGTGCTGGTGATCGCCTCCATGCTTTGTGTGTGTGTGTGTGTGTGTGGTTCTTTGTCCTGTGAATGCAGATGCCGAGGGATTGAGTGTGTCCAGACCGCTCGTCCTCTGATCCGTCAGCTGTGGATCTACTCTTCTCTGGCGCACACACACTCTTCTGCGGATCTGAGCCTCGACGTGCTGCATCGGGAAAACCAGGAGTGCTGGCGGTATGAGCAAGGAATCCTCTCTCTCTCTCTCTCTCTCTCTCTATGTCTCCATGTGTGTTAATGAGGTGTGTGTGTGCGCTTGCTTCTCCCTCTGCCTGCTCTCCTCAGACACTGACACAATGTGGCTCCTTCAACTCTCTCTCTCTCTCTCTGATTCAGATTCAAATAGCGTTATTTGGCTTGGCAAAAAAAGGATGAAAAGCATTGCTAAAGCATTGTAACACACAAATACACACAATAAAATGAAGGCACCAATGAAGAGAATGGTGTGATGGGGTCAGGAGATGTTAGTGATCCTCTGCTCACAGCTTGAATACTATAGGGGTGTCAATGACTTATAAATGCTTCCAGAATGCTGCCCATTCATTTATTTCTAAACATTTGACTGATTCTGCCTTGCATGATTTATTCATATATATAGAGCAGACATTTGATTTGAGTTAGACCAGATCGTTCCAGTCTCAATGCCGGATCGTTGATGTAGAAATGTTGAAAAATGTCAGTGTTGTGTCTCTATGCTCCTGGAAAAGCATGTTTTACTTTTTTTTTTTGCTAGTTTTAATTCCATTGTCATTTACTTTCAGTGTGTATTGATTTAATGAGGTAGTTTCCTAAACCACCTTCTATAGGTTTGTAAAATAATACTTTGTGCCAGTCTGAATCCAATAGAGTTCATTAAACATGCAGACATTTTGCCTGTAATTTGGGGAGTATGTTTTTCAGTTAAAGTATGTTGATGTGATCATCTCACGATGAAGTCCAGGAGTTTATTATACTGCAGAATAACTTTCACATCTGTAATCACTGTGGTCAAATTTATCTCCATTTTTAAAGATGAAGGCCAGAGACGAGACCAGATCTCACAACCACACCGAATCATCTCATTATGGCCGACTGGAATCTTGTGCTCGTTTGTTATATCATTTCATTTAACATCCCATCATGCTTTGCGGTAATAATGAAGTCGAATGGGTTTTGATTATCTTTGATTAACGCTTGTGTTGTGTTGAACTAGTGTCTGGAGATTTTGGTTCTGAGTGTGTGTTTGTGTTTTATTGTGTTTTTGGATCTCTGTGTTTCTGATTCGACAACATTAAGAAAACGATGACAATCTTGAGCAAACCAACTTTTGTCATTTTTGGGTATTTGATTTAGAGCAGTTTTTCTGGACAACATTTCTCGATAATCTGTGTATTTTGTGTAAGAAAAGCTCTGTCTGAGTTATGTTGTTTCTCTGACAGGACACACACACACACACACACACACTCACTGTGTGTGTGTGTGTGTGTGTGTCCTGTCCAGGGCCTGAAATTAACACCCGACCACCTGCCAAATGCGGGTGAATTTTGCTATTGGCGGGTAACACTGTCAATCTACCTGCCACATTGGCAGGTAGCCAATGAGAATTGTGAGTGATTCATAGGATTTTTACATTTCAACGAAGTCCGCTATTGCGTTTGACTTTAGCTAAAATGTGGCGGCACATTACTGGGGTAAAGAGGCCAGCTGAAACAAAACAGCCAACAAAAAGATGAGGATGAGAAAAAGAAAAGTAAAGAAGACATTTTAATACAAAGTGAACAATCGGCGGCAATGGCAAGGTTCGTGAGCGGCTGATTTATGACAGCGACTGTTGTTTCGTAACGTTCATGCGATCAGAAAGAAGATGAGGCTCTTTTTCTGACTACGTGTGCGAGTATTAAACTGTTGGTGAGATGGGATGAGATAATGTAACGCGTCGCTGTTGTAGGTTAAAGTACAATGACAGTTGCACAGATGTGTGTGCGTGTGCAACTGTGCATGTTGGGAGTTGGGAACCGGTGAGAAAATGTCCGGTACCCGGTAATTTTATCAGTAATAACAGTATCAATTTAGTTCATATTTAACCGTTCCTGAACGCTGTAACTAAAAGCTGTTAAGAGTAAGACCTACGTGACTAAATCCGCCATCAACACAGCCGCGTGTGATTTGTTTACGAGCTGCGGTAGGTCTATCTGTTGAGTATATATAGCCTATACTATATATGTTGTGTGTGTGTGTGTGTGTCTGTCAAAATCAAGGAATAAAAAGATTTTTTTTTTTAAATGTATGTTATTAGAGTTATTATTACTTGACAGCACTTAAATGTGTATTCTTACAAGTTAAAGAACAATATTGTGAAATTCCTGTTTTTTTTTTTTTTACGTTTATGAGGCAAAAAAAAAAATGGCTGGTAAAAAGTCTCTTTGGCAGGTGAATTTTTAAATCCACCTGCCACAGTGGCCGGTGGCCGAAAAAATTAACTTCAGGCCCTGGTCCTGTCAGTCTTCGATCTTATTGTACTAAAGCCTCTTTCAGACTGTCAGTCTAAATCTGATTTTTATGAAAGTCTGATTGGAATCTAAGATGTGGATTTTAGATTTGTGAATGGTTAAATCACATGGAATCTGATCTTTACAATCTGTTTCAAGCTTCATTCATATGTGGTTCAAACATGAATTTCTTGGTCTCAGTCTGAACGATCTGATGGGATTTCCTGCACTGCTGCGCGCCGGCATCAACGTGTGATCTGTGATCAATTTGTGTGCATGTGTGTGTGCTTGTGTTTTGTGTTTGTGTGTTTGTGTGTGTGCTTGTGTTTTGTGTTTGTGTGTGGGCGTGCGTTTGTGTGCGTGTGTGTTAACTCGCGGTCAGAGAGAATCAGGAAGTGCTGCTGGTATCGGTGTATCGATACTGCGGGAAATGAGTATTGAAACCGTTTCAGATATTCCAGTATCTATATGTGTAGAAAAATCAACATTTTTGACGACACTAACAGTAAGTGTTCGGATACGTTCATCTTTCCTGCCGTCCGTTACACAACAGACTGAAGTGAAGATGATGTCCGTGATGTTTCCCAGCATCTCTTAATCGAGACAGAAGGGATGTAATTCTGTCAAAGAATGAAGTGTTTTAGTTACTCTAGTCACACAGTCCACCCACATAATACTGTATTCATAATTCATCAACTCATTTGCATGTCTTTCATGGTATTCATATATTTCCAAGATGAGCTTTAAAAAGACTGGTTAGCTGGAGCATTGCATTTAGCTCACTCTCAGATGATGTGCTGAGAATCTCTTTTAATAAGAGCATCACGTTTTATTCATTATACTCTTGATTGTTGAAGTATTATTGATACGCTTTCTCTGGTAAACCGCTCAGGAGAGTTGTTCTTCCGCCTCAGTTAAAGAAAGATTAAAGTTCACCATTATTTCCTGAGTGTGTGATATTTGGGTGCAGTGTTGAACCGTTCCTCCTCCCGGTGCCGTGCGTCGCCCGCTGATGCTCGTCCGTCTCTTAGAGGACTCGGGGTTATTGTTAGCATGTACAAACCGGTCAGCCTATTCTCAGCCAAATCTTAGCTGAACGCTTTTATAATGCAGGAGATTTACATTCAATCTTTTTTATGATCTGTAATGTAGTAAATTCTCATCTGATTTTTTTGGCTTTATGTAACTTCCATGAGTAATGCTCAAAAACAGTGTTTTTATCAGTCCATGAAAACAAAGTTGTGAAAACAAACAAGTCTCTGGTTATCCGGAAATAATCAGCTTTTTTTTTTTTATCAGTTCTGACTGTACACACTTTTAGCTATTTTTCTGTGTTCGTATTTACATTTATTTATTTTCTGTTTTAGAACAACCTAAATGTCATGTAAAACAACATCGATGTGTCAGACCGCTTTAAGGGTCTCCTCCTGTCTTCTCTGTCAGAATAAGCAGCAAGACGGGACCGTGTGACATTTAGTCTGCCGATGCAGGACTCGGGGTTTAAGGCCTGTCGTTGGTCAGGCCGTTCATTGATCGTCAGTCTGTTGGGAGGTGAGAGAGTTATCTCTGTGTGCAGCGAAGGTTAAAGGTTTAGCTCAGAGTGCAGCAGCTTCCCTTTGGGTTTCAGACAGGCACTGTATCATCGCAGGTCATTAAAGACTCGCTGAAGAACCAGGGCAGAAGAAGCCAAACAGATCCACTCCCCAGGTTTCTATAGGCTTTAGACAAACCCACTGGTCTACACTAAATGGATAAGACATCCATTTCACTAGGGCCTTGTTTATATAGCAGGGATAAAGGAAAACATCGGAGCTTTACACTTTTAAGCCTCGGACTGAGGAAGACATACTGAACTTTACTCAGATGGGAAATGCTGAATTTTGAGATCGCAACAGACGTGAAGGACTACAATGCGTCAAGAGCTCGCTCAAGTACTGGGGATGCTTGTGATGCGCATGTGCACGCTGTCTGCGGTTTCGTGGGTTTTGAGGTTTGCGCAGAGATAACAGATAATCGTTTGCACCTTCGACCCTATTTCAGGAAGTGTGTTCTCGAGACACGGCCACTGTTCTGTGTGGATGAGTGCGTTCAGAGTTTCTGTTCGAGCGGTGTCGTGTTAGCGACCCCTAAGTTAAGTAATCACTAATGATCTTCACAACGGAAGTGAATCAATCAAAACTAACTTTAACTGGACAATAACTTTATTCTAGATCTGCTGTTGTCGCGTATCTGGACATTCACCACCAGAGGTCTCCCACTCACGGCATGGACTCTTGCACTTCACTACAATCCCCATCATTCATTGCACTGGCGATTCACACAGCTGATTCCACTAATCACGCTCACACTTGAGAACCATCACACACCCTCTCACACCCTTTATAAGCTTTGGACGTCCTCTCTCTGTTGCCGGATATTGTTTGTATGGACTGTGTTGTCAGCGTTGAACACTCCTCTAGTGTTAGCTACTTAGTGAGCCTTCCATTGAACCCTAGTCTTGCCTTGCCCTTCGTGTTTTGATCCCTGCCTGTGTTTCTTGGATTCTCCCTCAGCCTAGCCCTTCGGATTCTGTTTGCACCTCGTCGACCCATGCTTGCTCTTAGGACTGTGCTTCTCTGTGCTATGCCTCTGCCATACCTGTCTGCTGTTCATTGACCTTGCCTGTACCAAGACTACGTTTTTGGAATAAAGCCTTGCGACTGGATCTGCACGTCTCTCCTCTGGTCCGTTCCGTTACAGCTGTAAAGCCTAAACAGTCTCTGTCACTGTAATCTCCTGTTATCACTGTAAAGCTGCTGTGAAACTCTATACTGTTAAAAGCGCTTTATAAATGAAGGTGACTTGACTTGACTGTGATTGGAGTCGTGGATCACTGAGGAGAGCTTGACTAACGTGACCTGCTAAAACTGACACCTCAGTTGATTTTTGAGTTTTGCAAAAAGAGTGCATGGGATTTGTAAACGGTGTCTAACTGCCTGAACTTGTTTAATTTTTTAATGAAAAAGTGATTTATTCAACAAATTGGTTTAGGCTATTGAGAATTTGGTTCAAAAATGGGATTTAATGTTTTAGCAATTCAGAAAACCTGTAAGCTTAATTAACAATTTATTAATTACTTAATGCTCACTTCATCTTCAAGATGCGTACTTTGATCTAATGCAAGTTAATAAAGTGCAAACGAAACCTAAAAACAGCACAACCCCCGACAGAGATGCTGATGTTCTCCGCGTATTTCAGTGTTGCTTTAACACAGAGCTTTTTTAATTGTGATTAACATTTCTCTCTGTATACATTAGATTATTTACAGCTGTCATGTTTGCTGTAGACTAACAAGAACAGTGGGGTTTTTGTGTTGCATGTTTATTTATGTCAAGCCTAATAGCTCTATCATTCAACCCAGCCAGTAATATGAGTGATGTGTGACTGTTAATGACAGTATGGATGAGGGAAACACAAAGCAATGAAGATAAAGTGAACCGTCTTTGATGTGATTTGCAGGTGTCTGGAGCCCAGAGGGGAAAAAAACATAAATAAATTACATCCGTTTTGTGAATCGGCCCTGGAGTCAGCAAGAATGCAGGAAGATGGCAAATTTACATCACCAAAGACAATTTGTACATGGAGCATAACAGCAAAAATAGGCTCATAAATCACATTAGCTGCGGCCCTGAGTGCCATCGATTACCTCACGGCACAATGAATGGGGACATTAAAGCCTCTGGTGCCTAAACATCCACATCAGGAGCCTCTGCGCGGGATATACGAGGCCAGGACCCCCCCGAGACGAGAAGGAGAGGGAACATCAGATGCGGCCGGTCTGGAATCTGAAAGAAGGAAGGAGGATCCAGCTGAGAATATCATTCTGGCACGTGAGTGTCTCTGGACACTGATTCATGTACAGTGTGCTTATCAGTTGCTGATGTATTTTTAATTCACACACTTCTTGCTGTGTTCTGTCTTGTTTTTTAAAACAACCCACTGAGTTTTGATTTATAGAGAACAATGCAGGAAGGATTTCACTATTCCCACAGAAAAACATTAGCCTCTGCCTGGAGCGCCGACACACAGTCATAATTAAACAGCGATAAATCAAACGCTAAGAGACGAGCCCCCCCAAGCTGACACACTTTTCACCAGCTAATAGTTTGTGGGAGCTTCAGAGGGAAGGCGGTCCTCCCTCAGTGCAGCTAAAATGCTTTATCATCACTGGAGTTCATGTCTGCGTGTCGTAGGACAGTCTCCAGATATACTGCACAGCGGTCGTTGTCGACCCACGTGCTCTGAATGAGTGAAACCATTTCCATCCGTTCTGTAACGGGCTGAAGAACATCACTCTGCTCCAAAGCCGAGTGAACTGCCTTGCTTTCAATAAGCAACTCCTTTCCAAAGAAGCATCCCAAAGCATCCCTCCTCTCCACAAACCGACTAACAAATAACTAATAGACACTCTCTCTCCTCCCTCTCTCCACTCTTGGAGGCAGAAACTTACCATTTCCATCTTCAAGAGCCACAAAATCACTCTCACAGACCTTCTCCTGGACCGTTCCCAGCTGGAGGAATAACCTCACAATCTCATTTTGTGCTGCTGATTCTTAATCCATTTTCAAAAAATCTCTAAAGACATCTTTTTGGCCAGCACCTGACCAATTATACTAGACTACCTGAGACTTCTTACGGCCGTTTTCACCTCAGTCTGGAGGATTGCATTAATCTTAGATTTTTTAGGAATATTATCATCTTTGAATGATGCAAAACAAGAAAGTAGATTTAACTGCAATATCCAAAATCCGATCTCCTCGTGCGTTGAAGTTTATGTGTTGGTGCTATATTGGTGCTATTTTCTTGAAGTTGGCTTTGTTGAAGTTCCCAGACACAATGATCGCAGCCTCAGGCTACACAGTTTCCTGCTGGCTTATTCCCTTATACAGTCCTGTAGTGCCCGGTCTGTGTCGGCTTGTGGGGAATGTACACAGCTGTGATGATGACTGCCAGTTCCCTCTCAGCTCGCAGAGCTTGTTCTCTAGAAACTGAACATTTGCCTGTAGAATACTGGGAAGCGGGGATCGATTTGAGGTTTGTAAACAGCGGGTCGACTTTGACGAATTGAAAGTTCGGTTTTCGGTGTGCGATTACCGAACCAATGCCCAAAAGTGTAATCGTTACATAATAAGGTTAATGATTAGTCATACATAATAAGGCAGACAACATCCAAGACAAAAACATAAGAGCCATAAACAAACAAACAAAAAACTACAATTTTGTAACGCAGCAGCCATGCTCGGCGCCATCTTGTCTTCAGAGAGGTCAAGATGTTTTCTGTCTTGTAGTTTTTCATGTTGATTTAGTTTCTCCCTGTGTATCTTGTTTCCTCATTACCTTGTTAAGCAGGGCCAGCGCTAGCCATTTGGGTGCCCTAAGCACAAATGCTTGGTAATATAAATCATATATAAATATATACAGTATATACATTCAAATAGTTCTTAAATATATACGTGCATATGTGTGTGTATTTATATATACAAAATAATTATACACAGCACACACACATATATCATGTAGACACAAACTTTTATTTTGGTTGCGATTAATCTTTTCCCAGCCCTAATAATTTGACAACTCTGTGAATATGAAAATATACATACATTTTTTTTTCTTTTCTAATTGCAGTTTCTCCAACAGATGTCGCCTTTGGGCCTTGGCCTATATGAACCTCTTGAAAATGATTGCATTATCCGCATAGATCAACAACGAAAAAACGTATCTGAGCGGTCTTCCTTTTCTTCTCAAATAAACTAACTGCATTTCAAACAGCCCAAGTTTCAAAATTTCCCAGGGAAGAAATCACCAGACCCCCATTAAAATAAAAGATTCTACATGCCGGATCATTTGCACTACTAGCGACGCCCCCCTGGACATGCATACACGACGCAAGGGCGCCTACAAAACTAACACTTTTAAGCGACGCGCGAGTATCATCCAGCTCTCTCTACTTTTACATTTTTTCCGACTCCTGGTGCCTTTTCGAGGCCAGGTCTGAGGTCGGTGTCTGCCAAATTTGACATTGATTGAGGCATAATCGAACCAACTCAACTAATTTGACTTAAACCAACTCAACTCAACAGTCTCAACTAATTTGGTCTAGGCCTATATTACTTTTCTATTGCTTATGTATATTAATATGCTTTAGACATATTTTATTTTAGTTATTTATACTAATAGCCTGTTGTGATGATTTTTCACAACCCAGATTTTTTGGTGCCCCCCCAAGCACTTGGTGCCACCCCTATGCGCAGTGCTTGATGTGCGTGTGCGGAGCGCCGCTTGCCCTGTTGTTTAGCTTGTTTGCCCCTGTGTATCTATAGCCCTTGTGTTTCCCTTGTGACTTTGTCAGTAGTTGTACATGTAATGGTTGCTTCTGTTTCTGTGATCCTCGTGGTTTTGTTCATTGAGTTCTGTTACTTTATTAAAAATCCTGCATTTAGATCCTCGCCTTCGCCTGCTTTCTCCGGCAAGTTTCATGGCCGATTAACAATAAAATATATTGTTAAAAAAAATATTGTTAGCAATAAAATAATTATATAAAAAAAAACACTGTAATTAAATAGATTTAATATGCAGGACTGGAATAGATATTGTCACATGATATTGTAAGATTGTATAAAATCATGTGGACCTTTGAGTTGACTCCATTGGTTTTAGAAGAATTTAGAAGTTTAAATTTAAAACTTAAATATGGACAATTTTCGCTTTTATTTTGGTCTTCAGTTTACTGGGACACACCACTTCTTCATTTTCACTCACACACATCTCACCCAGTAAGATGTTATTTCAGAGAATAAAATGCATCTGGTTTACAGATCGCCGGCTGAGGTTTCAAGTATGAAATGAGATGAGATTGGAGCGACTGCTGTAACCTTTAAGGAGATTGCCGAGCTGAACTAGGTCATGTAACATCCAGCCGGGTTTGATAAAAGTGTTTCAGTTCCAGAGATGCAGACATTGATTTGTTTGGTCTTTCCTCCACAGCATCAGTGCCATGAGAAATCGGCTCCAAAGAAAGTAAGCATACCATATTTTCTTTTTTGAGTGTCTGACAGCTTTTCCTGACACTGGTGTGATCTACGTCAGGAAACCCTGTCAATCACACACTGGGTTAATCATCAAACGTTGTACATGACACCATTTCTGAAAGCCTGCTCACAGTGCCATTCTGAATTCTGTTCTTACATATTCAAAACTTCAGCTTCATACTTCATAAGACAGAATAATAAAAAAGGACTTGGGCCAATGACTTTCATGAGAGTGTATTTAACAGTCGTCTCAGACACTCCTGAAATATCCCAGAGAAAAAGTGTAAAGTGTTGTTCGGGGTCGGAGTGTTCATCGCAGGTGTGTTAGTGTTGTGCGGAACGAGCCGGGATTTATTTATTTATTTATAAACATTTATTAGAGGATCAGCCCCATGAGATGAAACATCTCGTTTTCATGGGGGTCCTCAGTAATATTTCCAAATAATAAAGAAAAGCAAAGAAGAAGAAGAAAAGCAAGAAGTGCTGCATTTTATCATTTAAACATGTGAATTTTCATGAAAATTCTATAATCCAAGATTGCTGCCACCATATGATGTCATAATATGCAAATTAGATGGGAAAATGTAATCCCTAAACTGTGGGTTATCCTTAATATTTCTCTAATTTACGGAAAGTCTCTATCTTTTATCCCTTTTAAGATATAGCCTTTTGAAATTAAGAAGGACGTTTTAGGAAAAATCAAATGTTTTAGGAAAAAAACTAAAGGATTAAAGAACATTAAGGTTATAAAAACTTTGGACCCCATTGACATTCATTGTTTAGGTAAATAACAAACAATCTAAAATATTATTCTAAATATTTAATCATTCATTATTCAAAAGCATGTTTAAAGCTCCTTTAATGAACATTCAGGTTAGAAAAATGTGGACCCCTTTGACATTTGCTATATTGGCAAAAAACAAACAAAAACATTAATCAGAATATTTCATTATTCAAAATATGATGACAGCATTGTCATTGCTGGGCCAATTATTCCTTTAAGACTGCTTTGCCATGTTCTTTTTACCATCTCGGCTGTGCAAGCTGTGACTCTCTGTGCCTTTCCCTGTGTGTGCACTGTATAATGTATATTAGCGCTCTCCATGAAGCGGCTCAGCCACTGCTGGAACTCTGTAAATGTCACTGATGGTATTAAAGAGGATAGTGATCATTCCTAGCAGTCATTTCCAGTGCTGACGTGCGAGACCTGGAAACCTAATCATGAGACTGCTGTATATCAATGTGCCTTGACAGAATTCATATTTTCTTCCTTACAACACTAAATGTTTTATTTTTTTGCCATGGACAGTATTTGATGACCATGTCCCCTTCTTCTTTCCATTATTTCTTATTCAATGCCTGTCCAGCTTCGTCAAATACAGTCAGATTCTATGTAAGAGCAAGTTAACCTGGCCAATAACAACGGCTGTGATTCTAAATCTGAACCTCCTGTCCTTGCCCACTCCCATTGGTCGAATCCTCTTCAGACAGCATTGTTTTCGCTCCCTGTGATCTAAGGGATCACATTACTGAGTGAAAATACTTCCTTCAATCCCAGTGTAATGAGTCTCTATAGACAAATGACATCAGGTTGATTTCCCTGAAAGATCCCCAGTTTGATTGCTGCAATATTCATTGTTAGTCATTATAGTAATTATTATTGAAAACAGATATTATTGAAATAGAAATCCTGTAACATCTGCAATTGCGGGTGGCTCCTCTACTAAATGATTGCAACTTTCACACACATCTGATCGACAGATAAACTGGGGTAAACTTTATAATTCAACTGAACGGTGCACATCCATTTCAGACATATCCTTCATTATGTTCTTTCTCCATCCATGCAATCAATGCATGTCCACGAATGAGGGCTGATTTCCTGCCGATTTACTTCAGGTAATGTCTATGGTTTGGTCTATTTCTGAGGTGGCCAAAGTTAGAATTTAAAATGCACTGATTAACAGTTCTTTACGCACACTCTAAAAAATGCTGGGTTGTTTTAACCCAACTTTGGGTCAAATATGGACTAACCCAGCCGTTGGGTTAAATTTTTACATTACATTTTTAACCCAACATTTCGGGTTTGTCCATATTTGACCCAAAATTGGGTTAAAACAACCCAGCATTTTTTAGAGTGCATGTATTAAAAAGAATGTCAAATTGAAAAAAGAGCTTGTGACTAAACCTAACATTTAGACTGGCTCTGCTTTTTTTTTTTTTGCTGCTTTTTGTTGTTTGCAATGCAAGGTTAAACAAAGAATTGGTTGTTTGAAAATTTACTGGATTTTCTTTACTCAATATATATATATCCATATATATGTCCATATACCCTTCCCTCGTCCACTTCACGAAGTGGAACGCTCTTCACACTGGCGGCAGGGGAAGTGCGTAGGGAACTGGGACTGGAACGCAGCACTGTAAGGTATCATGCGTCATGCCTTGCTGGCTGTGTTTTGGAAAAGTCCTTGTTGGGAAATGTTTGGTTAACTGTTATTTTAGTTTGGTTGCACATGTATATTGAGGCTGAGCTATAATTTCTTTTGCTTTATGTATGTCTTTGATTTAATGCACATAATGAACAGTAGTTAATTTGTGTGTTTATAAAAGGACTTTTCTTATTCTCTAACTGCTTAATTCATGTTTATATCAGCGTTGTGGACCTGGTGGGGATTTGACCACATCTGACCGATGTAAAGAGCTGATGGTTTGATTACTGCTATGGACTAAAGATTCATTTTGAGGAACTCATTTGTGGATTACAGCGACATCAGAAAGGACTATGAGGTTGTTCACGGACTGCTTTTTCATGGGATATCATTGTCATTGCAGCTCTGGACTTCATAATAACAGATAAGACTGAGATTCTGTGACTCTCGGGCTCTGATTCACAAGAGGATACACACTATAGTCCGATTGATATGTTGCTGGAATTTAACCTCACAGATGTGTATGTCATGTGCATTTTCGTTTCTTTGCTGTGCTGTTTCTAATGGTGTTTCAGGATGAATGTGGTTTCTTTGAAACGAATTTGTTGTGGGGGAATATACTGTAAAATGACAGAAAGAGTTTGTGGCTCCCTCATTTACTAAATGTTTTAAAATGCATTTTGATGCTTAAATCAGAGCTAGCATTTGTTTAAAGAAGCACATGCAGTTAAAATTTGATATAATACTGCTCTAATGACGGACAAAACACAGAGATGTCCGACATTCGCTGGTCTGAAACCTTGTAACTACGCTTGATTTCGGTAAGATGGTTGTTATATAATGACACATTAAAAGCTTGAATAATACTATAAGCTTGGACTTTTAGCCATTACATTGTTTTGAGGGACATAAAACCATTGGCTTACATCATCATGGCAGCCGCCACGTTACGTTTGTGCGAGAGCTTCTGAATATCTTGGCACGCTTCTGCTGACCCGTTTGAGTCTCTGAAGAGATTAGATTTGTCTTCTGCCAGTCTTCGTCCTCTAATGCTTAGCATCTCATACATGTAAGACTAACACAGAAAACTTGTCTGGCTAATCAACTCATTGCCTATAATAACATCTCAATTGCACTGAATTGCTCAGCAGGGAAAACAAACCTATTAATCATTTAATGGCTCTTTAACCGTGAGCTAGATGTTCTGTGACAAATATAATTTAGTTTAAGTGTCTTGTCATTTATGTCTGCCAACAGTTTGTTTGATGTCATGTTGCATGTGAGCAAAACATTTACGATAATTTATCTAGGATGAAAACAAACGGGAATGTTAATCTGACCTCAGTGTCTCACTTTCAGAAGCGATCAGTTGTCAGGATGAGAGGAAATGAGTCTTTGATCTCATGACCTTGAGGGAAGTGATGCTCAGAACAAACAGTTCTTCTCAGACGCAGCATCACATCCGTATTCCTGGTGTGTGTGTGTGTGTGTGTGTGTTAAGGAGAAGAGACTCCGGCTGGCCGATGATAATGCTCCATGAAAGAGTGAATTGCACCTGGAATTCTTTCGACAGTCAAAGATAGATTTTTAATTTCTTTACAATTTAAAAAATATTTAAGAACGTATGGTTTGGCAGGTTTGGCCATAGGCGATCAGCGCTGGGTCCTCAGGCTGTGAATCGACTCAATATTATACAATATTTAATGCAATACTATACTTGCATTACACTAAATTGGGATTACTATACTTTTTACGTAATTGCAAAATTAGTTTACTTTGTTACAATATACTTTTTTTCTGTGACCTCAAGCTCTGGATGCTGTTCTCCATTTTTCAATGTAGTGTCAAGTCAAGTCCCCCTGATTTATACAGCTCTTTTTACAACACAGATTATATCAAAGTAGCTTTACAGTGATAACATGGAAATTATACAAGTTTGTTTTTAGAATAAAATTGCGTCATCGTGCACCTGAAGTAAGATAGATCAATAATATATTTGAATAGTAAATGTCCCCAATTAAACAAGCCAAAAGCCAAGGCGACAGTGAAGGAACCCAAACTCCGGACGAAGAAACCCTCGGGAGAACCCAGACTCAGTCGGGCAACTCAAGTGCCTCATGAATGATCTGTAGTGTTTATAATATTGCCTGATGTGTGTATGATCTGAAAGCATTGTTTGATTTTGAGCTCAGATTAAATGCTTTCGAGGCGATTGGTTGATTTTATCAGAAGAGTCAGATCTCCTCTGAATGTAGTTTTTGAAGATTTGGTTTTGTGTTTTTGAGAAAGATTTAGAGAAATGTGTTTTAGCAATTCAGTAAAACTGTAATTTACATTCGTGATTTGTTTCAACAGGGCTCAATTGGGTTTAAAAGTCATTCATCAAAACAGCAGGGTTAAATATCACGGCGAGGAATGTTTCACAGAAGCTCATGTTTAAATAACACATCAAGTGTTGTTGTTTGTTACCTTATTGAACATAAGTGCACGCACTTCATCTCCATATGTTGAGAGTTGTGGCTAATTGTGATCTAATTGCCTGATATGTTTGCGCTCTGGACCATTTTCCTGGTCAGAGCCACCGGGCCAGGCTCATATTAGCTCTGTAATGTTTCTCATATGAATGTGACTGTTGAGAAACATAAAGCAGGTTTTTCCCAATGATGTATTTGTGGCCAGTGCAGGCCTGCTGGGATCTGAATAAATGTCAGGTGGTAAATGAGATCTCTGTCCTGGCGCATTAGCGGAGGCTGGTCGCATGGCTAACGCTCCCGCTGAAGGTCATGTGCTCGAGTGTCCCTCAGGAAACACTGATGTTTGAACTCATGTGAATCCGCTGAAAACACTGACATTTACCAGCAGGCCGATGTCACATTGCTGAACACAATACAATGTTCTTATATGCAGTTTTTTTTTACAATACATATTGTTCCATTGCTTTACAAAGATTTGTCATATCCCCATATATGTACTGTGATGAAACCCACAAAAAAACAAATAACTTACAAGGAAATAAAAGTTAATTATCAATAAATTTAGAAACAAGCTTAATTCAAATACATCAATATGACTGTTTCTCTGTTATTTCACCATGCATTCTTGCTTATTAACATCACGTCTATTTGGGTCCACACATGCGCTAGTGCGGCGTGACACACACCGTTTGACCCGCTCATACACTCGCGTTGCTCATACGTCTGTGTGTCTCCATTGCCCGGCAATGGCGTTAGAAATTTGAGTCTGGCATACACAGAAACAAAATGACAACGCCACCATTAGTTTTGCTGGTGTACAATTGTCAACAATAGAAAAGATCCCTCGCTGTTTCACACACCTGTCTGAATCAACATGTTGAAGTGAATCACCTGATTTCCACACCAGTTTCCAAGTAGGACGTCTGACTTTAAATGGGTTTCTGTTGCACTTTTCCAGTAGGATGCCGAGACAGAATTTCTCCTAAAGATCATTCAAATTTCAGCTCTTTGGATTGTTGCTATAACGTTGTCCACGTAGTGCAGATATTATTTGTTTCTATTCTAAACTCCAGAAGATGACCCAGATTCAGTTTCCTTTGAGGGTTTATTTGTGATGTTGTTGTATATTTTATACCCCAGCAGTCTTTTAGTTTGAAAGGAGTTTGAAGAAAATGAAGCCCAGAATGATCTGTTCTGAATGTAAAGAGGCAGATCTCAGTCTCAGACACGATGAGTTGTATCGTTCACTTTTTAAAAAAAAATGTATTTATGTACAGACAGATCTTTCTGTAAAGCAGCTTCTAAGATTAAGCACTATATCCTCCACAGCAAATCTCAAAGCCGTTCACGCTGCAGTCTTCAAATAACAACTGCATTAAAATGTTGATGTTTGAGATGGATGGCCCCAGTTTAACCTCTTGGTGTTTTCTGATCAGAGTAAAATGATAGTGAACAGTCATGCAGGGCCGGCTCTAGGTTATTTGGTGCCCAAGGCGAGAGTGCCCTCAAATCCCCCCCTGGAAAAAAAAAAAGTTTACACTTATGGTCTTCGGGGTCAATATGTCCCCACATTGAAATGAATTGGAAATTGAAAAAAAAAACCTAAAAATATTTCCTTCATGTGTCAAAAAAAAAAAAAAAAAAAAAAAATCCACAAGAAAACACAGAAATGAAGGCCTAGTACTAGAGCATAAATGCAATGTATCATAAAAAAATAATATTTCATATGCAAGCTAATGTAGTTGGGGAATCGTGTGGTATGGATACAAAAGTACTTTATATCTCCAAAAACACAGCATTAATGGATAGATGAGAAGTAAACAAAAATATCTAATATTTGCATGATTAAAAATTTATATTCTTTGTACAATTACTCAATCAATTGTTGGGGTCGTATAGACCCCGAAGCCCAGAAGTGTAAACAGGAAACAAAGACCATTTGAAGGTGAATATAACGCCGACGAACTAGCGCTGATCAAAGCCGACAGTGTTGTCGCCTCTCGTCGGGGTAAAAATCTGCACTTGAACCATGACTTGAACACACCGAGAGAACTACAGGCGATTATCAGC